AAGCTTTTCCTTGAACAGTTAACCCACAGCTACTGAGGGATGAGTATGACAACTTGATAAGGCCTCACCAGTGCTTCCTTGTGCTTAAAGCATACCACGTGCCTGGAAAACTCTTCGGGAACCTAGTAGTACCATGACAGGCTGCCTTTAATTTCAATCAGCAACTAGAAAATCACTTTCTCGCTGTAATAGAGAGTGTGGCACATGCTTGAGGACTGTGTGTTGCCTTGTATCAGAGACCTTCAAGTCTGCGTAGTTTTAGCCTTTGCTCAGAGTGCCGCAAATGGTTTTTAAAAATGTTTTGCAGAATACGCTTGTGCTGGCATGTTCGATTACTTAACCGGAACATGGACAAAGTTCGGTTGCACTCTTCACTTGCTGGTAAGCAACTCGGCAAGTTGAACTGTTAATGTTGCCGAATCAAAAACAGAAAGTGCTTATTAATAGAGCGGTGCAGCTTGCACTCAAAAACATGTTTCCCTTATTTCCAGCGAATGCGTATCACGGCAAGAAAAGGCACGTATCCTCGTTTTTGTTTTTTTGTTTTTTTTTTCGTGCTTTTTATTTTATCATGAAAGAAAATATGTTATATATCCACTTCTGTATCCACTGTCTATAGGTTTCTAGCCACTTTATTTCTACGCCATGCTTCCTTTCTGATCAAATGTATTTCGGGGAATGTTTAGGGATGTTCAACCTTGTCAGATTCCGAATAGAGTTGTCATTGTTTGGTAATGGCTCGCCCGCAGTGACTTTAAAGCTATGCCAATTCGTGTGTTTTATATCAGCTGGAAATTGGGAATTTGTACTCTCCGCTGTGTGCTTTCTCACTCTTATTATACTCCTATGACTGGTAATGATAGCGATGTCTTATTTATTTCTGAACTTACTTCCCGTGCCCGAGTCGGCATGAAAGCGAATGGATCATTCAGCATGTTCCATGTGGAAAGTTTTTCTTGTTTCCGCTAAAAATCTATTTCAAAGTGTGCAATATGCCGAACTCTTTTATACTTATTTGTGTAAGGATATGTTTCTTATAAAACATACAGAGCGTCTGAAGCAAATGATGTATATATGAATGTGGTCCGATAAAATGTTTTCGAGCCACTTACTGTTGTTGACCCCAAAATGCTCCCCCATCCAGGAGTCACTGTGGGGATTGTGTAACTTCAATGTTTCACAATAAAAAAAAAAAAACAAAAAAACAAAAACAAGAAATACACCTTTTTTGCGAAGTAAGCAGAAATATTGTTTGACACATTTTACACAGATACTATCGTAAAAATTAAAATATAACTGCGCGAACATAAAAAACAAACAAAAAAACAGCGGTTTCGGTAGCTGAGGAGCTTCCGAGAGCCTAGCGAGGAGCGAGGCGGGAAGGAAAGGGAAGGATAAAGAAGGAGAACCGTATCGGAGAACGGGAGCGGAAACGCCCGAATTGAAACCGAAACCAACCTGACCGGAACCGGAACTAGATTATGCTTAATGCCCCCGCTAGGAGCGCCAGTTCTCACTGGTCTATCTCACCAGTGAGAGCTGGCGAGATAGACAACATAGATTAGATAGACAACATAGAGCAGACAACATAGATTTAATAAAGGCATTGGGTTTTAGAGACAGCGAAGGGAGAGTGGATTTCAAGACTGTAGAGATTACCAAGCAAAGATCAGAAATCGAGAGAAAACTAGGTATTTTCTTATTCACTGATGGCAAGGGGGTTTCATAGCCTCACTTTCTTTGCACTGCGGAGTGAATATAGATTTCACATTTAAATATTCTAAGCTTAAATGGTAAAACAAAATGGCTAGGTGGCGTAAGCTACCGCCCGATCCAAAGGGCTCAGCCGTATTCATCCATCGATCCATCCATCCATCTTATCTAGGCCGCTGGGGCCTATGGCAGTGTCCGCTATGGCGCCATATCCCATATAAAGCAACTTTCATGTCCCAACGCGTCGCTAAAGGGTGGCGCTGTTATCGTATTTAGCTTAAAATTTAGCTCGGTCTCGGTGGACGCCAGCGGCCCAGGTTTCAAGGGCGAATTTCTTAACTGAGTGGTTTAGTAACGTTAGTTACAGGTCAAGATTCAAGAAGGTAGCGGCAAATGTCCCTCAAAGGGATTCATATATCATATATTGCAACCTCCGCATCCAATAGCGTCCCATCGTCTACGTGACGTCGTGGCCAACACGGGAGAGGGTTTGGCCTTCCTGTAAATATTTGCTTTCGTTGTGGAAGCTACGAGAGGAAGATTAGAGTTTTTCCTCTCCGATGGAAATAAATACGACTTTGGGGGGTTAGGTTCTTCCTCGGATATGTACAAAGGCCACATTCCGGGGAAAACCCGGTTAAAGTGCAGGCGAGCTAGTGTAGGTTATACATGATGATTGAAAACCCGAGACTCTGGTTTGAAACACGGAAACTCGTAAAGTAGGAAGAAAAAGGGACGGACAACGTGTCAGCGTCGGACATCTGCTCAGACCGTTGTCTGTCCCTTTTTCTTCCTACTTACGAGTTTCCGTTTTTCAAACCACAGTCTCAGGTTTCAATCATCATGTATAACTTTCAGGGGCTCGGTTCCTTCTCCGATGAATACAAAAGTCGCTTTCTAAAAAAAAAAAAAAAAAAAGTGGGGGTCGGAGACAAGTTGGCATCACTCTGTAGCCAATATCTATTCATTGAAGCGGAACAAGGGGCGTTTCCAGTGAACTATTCTTTCGACTGCGGATGGATTTGAAAAGGACGCATCACGCTCGTGGGAGGAGCTTCTCCTACCTTCATGACTTGTAACCGATAACCGAGGATCAAAAAAAATTAACATCTTTGGATGACGTCACGTGCAACCCATGTATTACATGGGTTGCATGTGACATCATCCAAAGAGCGCTCCGATGACCACCAGAGAAGACGGCAAGGAGGAGCTCCCCTCTTATCAGGATCCTCTTTTGTGCCTCCCGGACTTGCACATACGTCGCTATTCTTCTCCCAGAAGATTATAGGACATTAACCCGACACTCAAGATTCTTACAAAAGCAGCTTCCCTCTCCTCATCTTACATAGTGGTGAAGAGTATGCGATGTGACGTCAGTGCAACCCATGTATTGGAAAGAGGTACGAAATAGTCCGTTGTGTTTTAAAATTCTCGTACCGAAAATCAGGCTTTTGGTTTTCTGTCTCCTCTCTTTTGGACCACTAAACAATATTGTATTAGTAAAATTCCAATCTAAATTCATTTACCCCAGCCAAAAACTCGTTTTATGGGCCACTTTACTTGATTAGCGAATTATTAACGAAAGGAATTAAGGAAACATGTCAGTTTCCGCTGATAACCCTTAGATTTGGAAATGCTGTCTGAAGCGTCATCCTTCTTGCCTGCTACGGCCTTGTTCTGAACTGCTGTTGCAAGACGCGCCGCACCGAACAAGAAGGTTGGCGCTTCGAACAGCGTTAGCCCGGCTGAGGGGTACGAGAAGAGATCACGCTCTCCGTGGGAGTTTGCCAACTGAGTTGATCGAGTAACGTAGATGGAAACTATAGAGTGATTGTACTAATAACTAAACGGCACGGCGGCGGCGACTCAAGTCGGGGTCGTCGGGGTCCTTGGTCGGGTAGTCGGTTGCATAGCATCATCATCATCATCATCAAGGAGAGATGGGAAAGCGTAAGGAACAATGAATTGCTTTTTGGCGGGAAACGCAAAGTCCCTCTTTCCGTGATAGTCCCGCGATAACGGGATTGGGGTACAAACATGATAAAATCAGTCTATATTTGCACAACGCTAACAGACCACGTCAGCCTAATATACAGGGTATTCACGAGTAAACATAAACTAGGAATGGCGGAACTTCCGGGGGATCTGTGGAGCTTCCAATCGGCCATGTTGTTTACTGTGTTTTGTATGGGAGTTCGATCAGCAGTGCGCACCTCGTGTGTTGTTAAAAGCCTCAGCGACGAAAATCAACGACAGTACGCCGAAAAGGTGACCTCCGGTGAATCAGCACGCCTTCTGGATGCTTTTTGTGAGCAGATAAGCGGTTGTTCTTGAAAGAAATAGCTCATCTGCGAAAGGGAACGTAGCCGCACCTGTACAGCTGCCCGATTGAGACGCCTGGCCCTTGCACCCGAGAAAGACGAAAGACGAAAGACGTTGAAAGCGGCCAGTTACTTTATCATCGGAAAGGTATCTGCGGTAGGCACCCGCATGTGTCCGGGTGCCCTCGCCGTGTCAACAGGACGGAATGGCGCCGCGTTCACCGATGGCGGATCATAAGCGTCAAGACCTGGCGAAGCGACATAGTGCGCTTACATCACTGTGTAAGTATCTGGTAGACACCTACATGTGTCTCTAATGTTCATAAAATACGAATGCCCTTGCCAGGGTGACGGTCGGATGGAATTGGAACGTCCACCGTTGGTAGGTGATGGCGGGTTGTCCGGCGAAGTTTGCACGGTGCGCTTACGTGACTGAGTAAGCATGCGACAGAGCTTAAAATGTTGTTTGAAGCATGCACTTTGACCCATGCTTGCATGCAACACTATGAAAACTTGTGGATATTATTTTCTTAGCTTTACTAAATAAACAAAAACAAAACGCCTTTTTTTCTTAGCAAAGGTGAAAACACCAGAAAGAAAAGAACCAAGTGCAGAGATTCTCTAATCAAATCTCCTTCAATTAATATAACTATCCACATAAAATAACACCTGACACAGCCAATGACAACAGATGAGCAGGCTGGAATTATCAATATTGCAAGACAAGACATATTCGGTTCACCCCTTCACCGGGCGCAAAAGAGTTCAGGCTGCTGTGCTTTTGGTGTGTGCTCTGACATGGGATGTACTTGTAAATAGACCGAATCTGGACTGGTTTAGGGGATGTAGTTAAATCAAACTAGTGATAAAAGAGACACCGTCATCACAAGAAATGAATGTGGAGCTCATATTTAGATTTGCAACAGCTCCAGAATCAAACTTAGCCATATTTTTGGAATGGTGAAATTTGTCCTTTATTGTAAATTTAAGATTCAGCCTTACATAGTTACAAGTGCTGCACAAGCTGAAATACTGCAGGTTCGTGATGCAGGGATGGTACACTGATGGACACAAATTTGTTTTGAATTTCTCTGCCGCCTTCTTGGCCTGTGTTCGGTCGCTTCACGAGACACCTCAACTTCCTTCTGCCTTGGCAATGGATTACCACCTATAGATGTTAATACAATCAGGGTAGCTTCTCAGATGGCTGACAAGTTACCCAGTGTTGCGATGTACGCCCCGTTTGTCATGACAGGTCCCCATGCTAAATTTGTCACAAAAAATCCACATTGTTTATAAATTGATCATCAGCGACTCCACCACCTGAACATCAGGAGGCAATTCCAGTTGGGAACATCGTGCTGTTACGAATGGTATGGTGAAAGTCCCTGGTGTTTTGCTACGAAGGTGCATGACTCATACACCCATAGTCAATAGACACCAGGTTTTTAAACAATCGGGTGGGTCAAAAATACATAGTTTGAACTTGATACACAGGATAGCTCACCGCTTACTTATCGATCTGGAGATCAAAATGAAAACAATACTTGTACGAACCTAGAATACGACCTCACGTAACATGCGAAATTGGCATACATTTAGTTGCATCATGAGTAGCTGCGACATTCATTGGGAACCTTTCCGAGCAAGCGCAGGTGAAAATTTCCTAAATGGTATCCAACTGGTCCCAGTTCAACTGATTAAAGGAACAATTCCTAGTTGGACCAGCTGGACCATCTGGGATCTAACTGGGACCAGCTGCAACTGGGATCTAACATGGGACCAGCTGCAACTGGGATCTAACTAGGGCAAGTTAGATCATAGCTACAACTAGGACCAGTTAAATCCTTAGTAGCAGCTGGTTCGTTGTCGCTGGTCGCTTGATATTAGAAAATCCTCTGTGAACAAGTTCAAATAATGAAATGCGATGCAATTGCATTTTGTTAACAATTTATCCATGCAGAGTCCTACAGCTGAGCGCTGCAGCAAGACGCTCATTCAATCTTTTGATATGACTCCTTGCGTCTCACTGATTGAATGGAATCCTGTATTTTCTCGGTCAGGATGTTTGCAAGGTTGGAGACTGCTACTGTGACGTCCGCCTTTTTTACCGCTGCCCAATGGTGCAAGGTAGCTGCAAATGAATTGGCCAAATATTTTTTTTGTTTGTTTCATGCCGCTCAGATTACGTACCCCCCTTCAACAACATTGACCTTTTCCGGAATCAATGCCGGTTTGGGCTGCTCCCCCGGGCCCCTATTGTTGGGTTGTAGCTGGCCTAACATGCTTCGTATTGCCAGCCCAGGTGCAGTTCAAATTGACTGTGCGGTCTCCTTCAAGACGAGAGACGGCTCGGAGTGGGCCATCACTCGTTTTGCCTGGGTTGGCATAGGTATTATCTCGTTCTGGAGGTGAAGCTGTAAGCAGATTGAATATAATTATGTGATACAGTGCTACTAGATGAGGACAATAAGGAAGATATACGACAGGAAAGGCGCTGACTCACAAGTATATGATTTACTATGAGGGAATGAAGACAAAGTATACTTAAATTGTCACAAGTGTGTATGACACAGTCTCGTAATAAATGATTTTCAAGTTCACACTGGCACGCACAGAACCGTCATTATCCCCTTTAGAAATTTCAACTCTTCATCTGACAATGCCATAATGCATAGATCACACGGTCACTTCCACTGCTGTTGATGTGATAGACCTCCATCACTTCACAAGTTGTCTTGTCCTTGTGCCTGCCTAAAACAGTAGTGTTGTGGAAGGACGGTCCACAATGGCAATCTATACGTTGAATTAGAACATATCCTCCATTGTGGCTCTAGGATACCAAGAGTGTCCTCGGAGTCTGTCATTCAGGCACTGCCCCGTCTGGCCAATGTGGTTGCTGCCACACAAGAGTCGAATGTTGCGCACAACTCCCCCCCAAAAAACAAAAAACACTGAAAAAACAGTTTGACATACTTCTTGGTGCACTTGTTCCTAGATAGTTCCTTGGCCTTCGCATTTACTCTAGCACATATTTGAGTTGTTTTCCGGGGGTGCTGAAGACCACTAGAACTTCAAACCAGCTTTCAACATTTTGTTTTTAAATGTGAGAAACCCTGTGACGGACTCATTTTTTCTATACTGCTGTCAATACCCTGAATGCCCCTCCCCTCTTCAACAGGGTGCCTGCCCCATCTAAGGCGGACGGCCGATACCCTGTTCTCAGTCTATCGATTTATTTTCCGAAGCTATCTGCCAGTGTGTGAAAATAGAACTTTTCCAGTGCTGTGCCCAGACACGAAAGAGCAATACCCCTCTTGATTGCTTTTGAATGGGCTCGCTCAAAGAAATGCATGTTAGACAACAGATTACCCCATTCAAAGGTAACGAAGAGAAGTATTCCTCTCGTGCTTTCACACACTGCCAGATAGCTTCGGAAAACAAACAGATAAGCAGACAGCTTATCTTCTTTGCCGCGCTCTTGCAAGTATCAGGTGTGGTGTAGCTCGCGAAGAGAACAAGTTTCCTGATTGAGATACGTTGTGGGAGCGAGGGTTAGCCACAACGTCCAGAGGCCACAGCTAACCACCCAGAGTAAACAACGTTCGGGGCGCGCAACAGCGCACGAAGGACAGGCGCGAGAGGATATAAAAGAGGACACCCGCTCACAGAAGTGGAAGACGGACCGAGGGCACGGAGACGCGTAGGTCGAATGCCCGGCATTGTTAGACTTACTACTAACAACCCTTTGCTATTACTTTATTAAATGTTGTTTCTTGTTTTGGCTTCGTGTTGTTCCTCCCAGGTGGACAGGCAGCAAGGCAGCCTACCATAACCTTGCACATAAATCTTATAGCTAATGAGCCACAGACTTTCTTGTTTCTTTTTGTGGCACCAGCTTTTCCACAGACACCTTAAAAAGACGACAAGAAAGACACACGACCATCAGCCATGTAGGTGAACTCTGCAGGGCATGAGCCAGTCAATGTTGAAATTATAAATCAGTCAAATATTTAGGTAAATTAACCTCGAAACAAATCACAACTTTGTTTTCTCAAGTCATGCATGCAAGCAGGAAGAGATAAAATCAATCAAGATAACTAAAGTTTCATAGGGAGTCAATTTTTTTGGAGTGGCAAGAGTCAACTTACCTGCAACAGGACCCATAGCTTGAGGTGCTTGTGCAGCCAGCCCTCCATGTGCTGCAAAGAGTTAATGCAGGTCAGTGTGTCTGACGGAGAATTGCTGCCTACACAGAACCAAATCAATTGTCATAGAACCACTGGCCCAAGAACTGCATGAAGCATGCCTCGGATAGCTACATAAAGTGCACTCAACAAAAACTGCGTAAATGTCAACAACTTACCTGCACCAGTACTGGCATGAGAAGCACTCGCAGCCCCGACATCTTTAGCTGTAAATGAAAAAAGAGCGCACTGAGAACAGTGGGTTTCAGATGCATGAAGTTACGTAAATGCCAACAACTCACCTGCGCCAGAACTAGCCTCAGAACACTGTGCAGCTGCAGCTTCGTTTGCTGTAGGTATAAGCATGCACTCAGAGCAGTGAGTTTCAGTTGCAAAAAGCTGCGGAATGGCTAACTCACCAGTAATGGAAGCACTCGCGCAAGAAGCTTGGCTATGGCTGCCTTGGCAAGCTGTAAATATATACAGTGCATAAAATATATTATGTTTTACATGTAAAATCTGCAGAAATGCCAAACTAACCTACTACGGAGGACCTTCTTTTCATAATTTTCTGAACCGGCAGCCCCAGTTTTGCTGTAAATATATACAATGTATTAAGAATCAAGTGTCATATCAAAGGGTCATATGTCCGGCCAACTTACCCCCTGCTCTAGATTTCAACCACTGTGTAGCTCGACAAGGCTAGGCAAGCACATCAGCCTCGTGCTGTATTATAAAAGAAGCTACTTCAAGAATGCGAAGTAGTCTTGCGATTGTTGCCCCTCCTTAGAACATTGTTACATACTAAACCATATCAACATTAGCTCAAACCCTTCCAAGCACTCTAAGCATGGATTAATTAAAAATAATGTATGCCAACCTTTACATTCCGGTGTACAGCTAGGTAAATATTTACATGTGCCGAGCAAGTTAGTCTTGGGTTAGACTTTGTGGTCGGCGCCCCACGTTGGGCGCCAGCAGCAAGGAAAACCGACCACAATGGCGACCCACGTTGGGCGCCATTGTGGTCGGTTTGCCTTGCTGCACACCCGACCCGGAGGAATAATACGAAGCCAACGGTCTCAACAACAAGAAACTACATTCAATGGGACATGGGCGAGACGATTAACATGGCTACCAGCGGCGCCTGAGTCCAGGCAGCGACTCTCTGCGCGCCGCCTCTGATCTGCCTTATCAAGGCGACGCATCCGATGTGCGCGTGGCTGGCGTGACGTCGCCGCTACGCGGGAAAAGTTCGGCACCTTTGCCTCGCAGTCGGGCAACAGGGCTGGGGAGCCGCCAGGGTGCCCACAACTTGGAGGATGAAACCAAAAGAGGCGAAGCCTTCTACCCAAGCTAGTTTATGTGAAAAGGGCAACAGATCAGACAGATCAAATCACCTAGATACAAGTTTGGTAGTTCTACGACACTCATACCATCAAAAAGCGTATTCATACCTGTATTGTCCAGAGCTGCCACCTTGTTTTGATTCTGCTGCTTTTCCACAGTTAAAACAATTTAATGAAAATGTATTTGTAAAACACAATTGATCACATTTTTAGTGCTTAGGATAAAAACAGACATTACATATTATAATTAACAACTTGCACTGTAAACCCTACTATATAATAAGTTCAAAAGCAAAACAGACAAGCAAAAGCTAACTCAGTCTTACTCACTTCTAAAGAGCTTATAGCTCAGGAGTGCCTCTTGGTCACGCACTTGTTCTTGGAGGAATATATTGTCTTCCCGCAGCTCCTTACACCTGGCGCTCCAGTATTTAGTCTTCTTTCTGGTTTCCTGCACCTCGCTGCTGGAAAGCAGCGGGTCATCGGAGTCCGACGTGCTGATGGAAACCCGCTGTCTTTTCTGCTTCACATTATCTTGAAACATCGAAAAAAAAGCTGATTAATGCCATTCTGGTAGGATGAGACATGGTTACAAGGATTTTGAATTGTCACACAATTGCTACCGAGATGGCCTCTATTACTTGCCTATTCTGCATCTTTTTAATGTCTGCTGTATGCTAAACATGGATGCTGACCAATGTCTAGCACTGGATGGAAGTAGAAAATAAGAAAGGTTATTTGCTTGCCCCTTATATTGATATGTATGTCGTTATTTTTCTGAGATCCAGGAGCCAAGATGTATGTTTTAGATCTAAAAATGCTAAGCTTGGAAATAATTTTTTTTGTACTCTGCAGCACCGTAGCATTACAGCAGAGGAGTAAGTTAGAGACCACATTTATATGCCGGAAACTCACACATACTGCACAGAAGCCAGCAATCAACAATATAAATAAATATAATTTAAAACATCACAGAATAATAAAATTTCAAAATTCAATAACGCCAGAAACACTAGCAAAGAAATTCGCATTGCATTGATCAGGTTCATAAAAAAATGCACTGTCAGCTAGTACAATATCCGGAAGTAGCTCATTCCATTCCGGTATAGTTATCGGGGAAAAAGAAAACATCATATAGTTAGTTCAACATGTTATTTCGCGCATTTTCTTCTCATGATCCCTCCTGCTCGGCATATAATGGGGCATTTGAATATAATTTTATTTATTCATTCCAGATGAATCATTATTAATAGCGTCGATAATTTTAATCCATACAAGCTTTAATCTCTCACACTTTCTGCTCGAGAATAATTAGTTACAATGAATCTAACAGCACGATTTTGAATGACCCTATCCTGTCAATGAGATATTTTGATGCGGGTCTCATACTGCACTTGCATATTCAAGGTGTGGTCTAACTGATGAACGATGCACAGATATTGGTATCTTTTTATTATAGAAGATATTATAATGTTTTCGCCTATAATGTATTTAACAGGGGCTGTCAAGTACCTTGTTGCTGCAACCAGTGTCTGACAGGGAAAAAGAGGGCACGGAGAGCGACATGACAGAAGCGTTTGAAGTGCACAGAAGTGCACATGTTCGTGGTGTAAAGCGGCCATTGGCGTTGATAAACTTGCCGGGCTTCGACATTGTATAACGCTTCAGCCCAGACTACATGCACTGTATGCTGCTTGGTGTGACACGGCATTTTCTAGAGTTGTAACTTTCCAATGTTGATGCACCATACTACATTGGATCGCCACAACTAGTCATTTTTGAAAAAGGTAATTTTTGATCTTATATTGTTAAAGATGTGTTAGTTCCCACATATACCAAGCCCTATATTACAAAACCGCCTATTCATTTCGGGGCAATAGAAAAACATGTGGACTCTTTTTTCTCGCGGACTACATTATGTAGACCAATTAAAGCCCTACGGTACGCGCAGATTCCGAATGATTCTATTCTAACTTGTTTCGAAGAGAGTCTGATAGGTACACATTCAGATAAGACTCTTCTTTTTTTCTGCGGGCGAAGCCATCGCTTGCAACTCGCCGACAAGCGCCCTTCGTCGACCACTTCACCCGGAAGAAAATTCTTACCAAAAAGGGCTTGTCGCGGTCTTCGAACACGCTTTTAACGAGGAAATAAGCTACGTACCATTGTGATTTCGGGTTTGCTGGGATGCTTAGAGCGTCGAGATTGAGTTGTCACCACAAAATGACGATATCAGAATCGACTTCAGTGCCGTTTTAAGGACATTGACGAGCGACTGTGTCACACCAAGCCCCCACGGTGCATGGCACGTCTGCCCAGGTTTGTACTCTTACGGAAGTTCTGAACGGCTTCGGAGTGGCAGCAGTGGCTGCTTTATTTCAGCTTAGTATGCGGAGATGGCATTTTGCCCGAGCGTTGCCTGAACCACTTCAGCCTGCTAGTGAGGGGTATATTTTTGCTTTTCCAAGATGACGTATCCACTGCCGACATTTCTGACAGCACAGACTGCCTGGTGCAGTTTGTTGTAGGCGTATTTCTTTACTCGGAGGAAGAA